AAATCGTCAAATTGAAATTGTAAGGGGATAAGGATAAAGTCATGGAGCGTTAATCAATCTTGTCAGAGCGATGCGCCCACGCATCCGACTTCCACTCAGGATCGTGGAGGTGTATTGAATGCGTATGTGGCTTACAATGTCTTGCGGTGGCCAATCGATGTACAATCCAGTGCTTTCATCCTCCTAGCACAACTCTGGTATCAACTCACAGACCCCGAAAGGATAGAAGGCCTTGTTGGCTCAGCCAGATATCGTTGCGGGATTCGAACCCGTGACCATGCATGTGTGAAGTGCGCCACTTTCCACTACACCACCTCCACACATTTAAAATTGTAGTGCTAGACTGTTCTACCTGTTCCACTGACAGAGTTCTGCTTCCCAAAAACGCCAGTTCATTTCTATGCGATTGCTCGGCTTTCCTCCCCTATCGAAGGTCCGTAGTTTGGCATGAATTCTTCCCAAAATTATTCATGCGTTATTCTCAAATATTTTTCGTTTGAATACTATAGCTGAAATTTCGACCCTGACAAATTCTTCAACAATTTGTATACTTTTTTTTATTATTCTGCTCAGAACACACTTAGCTGTTTAGATTGGTGAAAGAGCAACACGTAGTCCACTTTTTGGAGACGAATACGAAGCCCTCACATTTCAACTATCCCAGTAATATCACTTTCACCCATGTTGAGCTTCAAAGTGAGTTTGTTGCAAAAAATAAGCACACACCACTATTTGTTTTCTCCTTTTTACGTGTGACGTCAAGTTGTTTCCTTAAGAGGATCCATTCTTCGTCAGCTGTTTTCTCAAGGTTATGTGGATAAAGATATTCAGCTCAATCGAATTTCCTAGAATATGGGAAACTGCAGACAAGGCATTTGTGGAAATGTTAGATCAACATCCTGAGAAGGCAAGTTTATCCGTTTGTTCCTTAGTGTGTTTATGTGCCTACAGTATGCTTGGGTTCTCTAACGGGAGGAAAGTTCTCATGCTTGAAGCATGGTGAGAGATCTGGACTTACCAATTAGTCAGTACCTGGTCAGCACAGCATTATTCAATACCATTGTTATTATTTTTAAGTGGTACGGTCCTTGGATTGAATAGTATAATACAGTGCGTTTCAGTGGTATACGTCCACCCATCATTTTGACAAAAACTTTTCTAAAAGAACTGGCCCAATTAAGCAGCACACATTATCATATTCGTGACTCAAGAAAACTGTAAACAACATCTTTTCAGGCAGGCAAGTCAACAAGAAAATTCTTTAGAATCATTTTTTCTGAATTTCGACCGTTTCATAATATACGTCCACCCCTGTTATACAAATCGAGAAAAAATTTCCTGTTTCAACCGGGGTACATCTCCGTACCAAAATCAAGGGCGACATGTCTTCTTGCTATGCCACGTGGTCCCCGTCTCTCTGCAGAAGAAAAGGCTCAGATTCGAGCTCTCCACGAAGCCGGATTCAGCAATCGGCGCATTGCCAATCAAATCGGCAGGACTCATTGCGTGGTCTGCTCCTATCTC